GTGGGTGCTTTACCACGCGCACCTTCACAATTGGTGGCATTCGGTGGCATTAAAACGGTCATCGTTACGATTGGTGGCAGCAGTTTAACGACTCCTTCACACATTCGATCTCTATTAATTTTTAATTTTTGTATGTATGTATTTTATCTTTTATAATTTAGCTGTAAATCGCCTAGAGCATTCTCGGATGGAGGGCGATTAATAAATTATTAAATGATGGTGGTGATGGTGGTGATGATGATGATGATTTATATACCGCTCCATCTCCCGAGGGGACTCAGAGCGGTTCCCAAGTAATATCACAAAACATACAGAGTAAATTGCAAATTGCATTGGAGGACATAAAGATTCCTAGAGAAGTCTCTAGGTCTGCTTTCAGTCGAGAATCCATTGAAAAGTTCCTCTCTGTGAAATGCTATGAAGTGAAAACCAAAAAAAGACAAGAGTCCGTTTTAGATGCAGAGGCTCATTTATTTATTTGCTCCCCATTCATTTCAGGGGTTCCTGGCCTTCTTCAAAACATGGTTCTGATGGATTCGCCTCCTTATAGAACTTATATTTGCATGTTGTTTTATCAACCACTGCTACACATCCTTGAACATGCGCAACGCCACCGTATCTAAAAATAAGAAGCAGAAGAAGAAGGTATCCACTGACATGGGTTTTTAGATTTGCAAAGAGAAGAAGAGTGAGGTGCAGCTCCGTCCTACCTAGATCTAGAAGAGCAGTAGCAGTTGGGATGAGGTGGTTCATCTCCATTCCGCTCAGGCTCAGAAGTACGTGAAAAAAACCACCCTCTAAGGCCAGGGCGGTGACAGTTGGAATGGAGAAAGGGGCTCCCATCTGGTTCTAGGTCTAAGGCATGATAGGAGCACCATCCTCTATCCCAACTGCCACTACCCTGGCCTTGGAGGGAGAGAAGAGGAGGCAGGCAGAGCTCCATCATGACTTGAAGCAGATGAAACATCCTCCTTCCTCTCCAACTGCCACTGCCTTGGCTTCGAAGGAAGAAGAAGCAGGTGAAGCTTCATCATCCCTAGGTCCAGAAGCATAGGCCTCCATCCATCCCAGCTGTCACTGCCCTGGCCTTGGAAGGAGAGAAGAAGAGATTGAGCTCTATTATGTCTAAGTCCTTCATCCCAACTGCCACTGCCCTGTCATTGAAGGGAGAGGATCGTGATATCATAGAAGATGTAGCCACAGCTCC